TTCTACAGCATCATCGTAGATATCAATATTTTCTATCACTTTCTTTACATTTCCATTATGCATATTCGTCTTCAATGATTGCAACTAATATAAAAAGTTGAGATATTACATCAGATTATAATTATATAATAAAATTTAAAAAATCATGTACATGTTTTTTATGATAGGAAAAAAGGAAATAAAACAACGAAGAGAAGAAAATTACAGCTACATATTTAAAAAATACCTGTATTGTAACAAAGTCATCTTCCGCATGAATTATGAGTTTTCCATGGAGATTCCACGAAGAAGCTGCGTTGGAAGGCACTAATACACCAGTGCTCGATGTAGCGTTGTAAGAATATATATATTCTTTCCCAGATCTGAATAAACTTTGCGCGACAATCTCGGTACTTAAAAAAAAGAATATGAGTAATGTTCTTCCTATCCCTTGTGCTAGCACAGATATCAAAGTGGAATCTAAAAAAGAAAGACTTTCCTTATATTATCTAATTTATCATTTTCCAGTCTTCTTCAATTCCTTTATGTTTTCACAATTATTGGAAACATGATATATTAGAAACAAGGGAGAAAGTAAACTTTTCTTATTATCAGTAAAGTAATATATATAATTATTAAAATTGCAAATATTTCACTTAAAACAATATAATCGTCTTTTTATTTTTTAATATTTTATATATGTATATGTGTATACCTGTGAACTTCATGATGTGTGATCGTAACTCGGCGAAAGCAAACTGAGTTCACGCAAGTCAAGGAATGACCCTTACCAGTTCTTATCACTGTGACTTACAAATACATACAGGGTTACTTGTGCGTATACATATACAGGAATTATGCTCTCGACGCATTATCTTCAATCATATAGATCGCACGTGTATTATATTATCGTTGACCCTTTTTCTCACAATACACAAGCATATAAAATATATATACACATCTCTTAATTTACGCATAGTAATCCTATAGAAGTATATGCAGAAAAAACTATCAATATTTCAATTGTGCATGATAAAAATTAACAATTTAAGTATTAGCGACTTCAAGTCGCAAAAGTTCAAAAATACATTTAAAACATAAAAATATTTTTATTAAAAACTATATAAAATATGTTTAGTGTTTATATAATATTTCTTTCTCATTTCTCTTCGACGATTATTTTGTTAATTATCGTGAGCAAAAGGTGAAAGAATTTCTAATTATTTTACGCTTGATGTATAAATGCTTTATTATTTGTGTTAGTTTCAGAACCAATTAACTCGAAAAGCATGTGTTTATTAATTTGAAATACATATATCGTTTTTTCGAAATACACATATGTCATTTTTTTTATTATAAATTTGTCAAATTACGTATCTTAGAGAATGTTATATCTTATTGATATAGGAATTGAATATTTTTTCAATTACAGTAATTATTATTTTTACAGGCAAGGCTCGAATATTTACGAGTATACTATTTACAGATTTATTTTCGGCTTATCTATTATGTACAATCGGGAAGTATATCATGTCATGAGTTGTCTCATTTAGTTTATTACTATACAAAATTGTATCTTCATATATTATACATTTGACAATTTACTGTAATGTATCATGTACAGAATCCTATTATACGTTATATGTATAAAATCTATCAACAAGCATATAGATACTAAAAGCAAAAAATTTGACAAAATATTACTGACACATACATATAATAGTCAACATATTATAAGGGCTTAATTATTTTCAGGATGGACTTGGCGTATTCCCAGGCTTCACTATAACACACAAATTTCATTTTAAAAAGAGTTTATATGTTTTGCTCAATTTACAAAATAATAAAACGTTTTGTTGATTGCGACAAACATTATTTATACTTACTTATGTGCAGGGTTTGCTTGATCCAATTGTTCGCTAAGTTGTTGAATAAGTGTGGCGAACATTTTGAGGTGTTCAATAGTTTCTCCTTGTAGCCATGCTCTTGGTAGCGTACTCATAATCTAACAAATATTGATAAACATTTTATTTGTTGTAACTGAATAAAATTAAAGCATTAAAAATATCTTTTATGATGTAGTATTTATTGCAGCGCTTCTCTTAGCGCCGAGACACTACCGTGTTTCCTGATTATATTTTAATGTTAAATATGATATACCATGTTTGCCTTGAATAAAGCGTCAGTTGAACAAGAAACGCGTAATCCAGCGAGCAGGTAACGATTCAAAAGCGAACCAAGTGCCAAATTTTTTAACTGTATATCTCCAAGAATACCTTGCCAACTTAATAAATTGCGCAATAATTTAACAGCCATCGCAAATTGTCTTTGGAAGAATTGATGTTTTGTATCCCAAACTCTGAAATGTTAACTTATGTTAGAAGCAACGAAAGAATAATGTAACTCTCTATACGAGATATCAATTTAATTAATTATATACTGAGTATACTGACTGTTTCGGGAAGATAGGTATAAAAACATCATTTTCAATAGCAGCTTTAATTTTATCTAAAATAGCGTTGAATAAAGTTTCCAACTGTTTACTAGTATCATTCAAATTAGGATATTCCTTTATCAATCGATTTATAGTTCCAACGAGACGTAACGTCTGAGACGTTGACATTGGATCCCATATCTTTTCAATAATAGCTAAAAATTATTAACGTGAAATAGAATTATTTCATTCCTATTTGTAGTTTTATAAATAGCATTATAAAAGATAATTCTTATATCACTCTTACATGTCAATTTTGGTATCACAATTTTTTCAATTGTGGATGGTATTAATCTAACATCTGGATCTCGTTTCAATGATTCTTCTGTTTCTTTATTATCTAAAGCATATAGAAGTAATGTATTATACCACTTTGTCCTTTCTAGATCAGCGCTTTCCTGTAAAAATAATTAGATATTAATTACAAGTATGATTAAGGCCTTTTATTAATGGAAAAAGTGAACAAAATACCATAATCGGATTCCAAGTAAGTAGTTGTAATCTGATAATAGGTGAAATAATTTTAGGTAAACACAACGATACATAAGCTTCTGTATAGGCATCCATGTCTGTTTCTCTCCATGACTCGAATTTTAAAAGGATACCACGTACTGTACAATATTCTTCCATAACATCAGAAAATATATCTTTACAATTATTATCGATTTCATCTGTAATAAAATAAAAATGTTATAATCATAAAAATTATATATTAAAAACATATTAAATGACATAAAAAGTAAATATGAAATTTTATGAAAGAATCGAAATATAAAGTTGATTAATAATAAGATTTTATTCGGACCGACAAGAATTAAACACTAAGTATAAGCATATTCAGGCCTATAACGGTCAAAGCTAGATCTTTTTTGCCTAAATAATTCCGAGTGAATTATCTATATCCTATATATGTATACGCATATATATTATATTTTTGTAGTTATTCAAACTGCGCGCCGAAATTTTTTTGGACTTTATCTAACACAATTAAACTACTGCAATAATATCACAAGTTAAATTAAATTGACAATGTGCTGAAAACGTTAAATAAATTTATTGCGAAAAATATAAAGTTGATTATTACCTTTCGCTTGCTTAAATACAAGATTTTGTTGCTCAGTGACTTCGTCGTCACTAGACATGCCATCAATGTGCTTTGGAATATTTGAAGCTAATTCTCTTGCTCTTCTACGACGGGCTCTTCTACCTTCTCTCTCTGTAGCTCGTCGTACGTGTACTTCTACTTCTGGTCCTCTTCTCATGGCTTGACCTCCTGCAAGACAAAAGAAGTTATAAAATTTGTGTTGCGAAATCTTTCAGTAAAATCTCTAGAGTTGATAAGATTATCAAGCGCCCTCAAAATATACTACCTCAAAATATTCTATCAATTACATTTTCTACACTGATTGGAAATTTACTGACTTGCTGTAGTAGTTATTTCTTCCGCCTGATCTCTCGTGTCTTGTCGTCTTCGTTCCATCAATTCGACTGAACGTTCGCCATATAGATCTAACCAGCGTTGCTCCAAGTCGATGACCAGGGGAAGCTAACAAAAGAATTATACATTTAATGTGATTCAATGAACATATTCTATTATAATAAAATTGATGATGTCTAAACTGAATGGCTTTATGATAATAACAATGCTTAAAAAGCATTAATTTGTTTGTTAATTGAGTTTCATAATTACACAGAAAATTCTTCAACGTGACAAATGTTCACACATTAAATAGATTAGACATCAATTTACTTACCACAGTCAAATTAATTTAATAATCACTTGTATATGATATTTATCTTTATAAAATGTATATAATACAAAATAGCATATAATACAGAGAAGATAATGACCCCCGGCAATGGAACATGTATATGTGCGACATATATGCATACATTTCTTTTAGTTTACGAATAGTTGAACCAGTAAGTTATTACTTTAAAAGATTTTATCTCCCTTTTATTTTATTTATCAAAAGCTCTGGATAAATTAAAAGAGAAACAAATATTGTTTCAGCTTTTTAAGTGATGAATCTTTTGTAATTTAACGCTTCTGAATTTTCGTTACCATTGACATCGTACTAAATATAATTTTAAATCATATAAATTCTTTTCTTTCACTGTATATATTTCACATTCATAAGATGAAACATTATAATAAAAGTATGATAATTCGATCATTATATTAAATGATTCAATTATTTCCAATATATATAATTTATAATCAGAAACTTAAACCTCAGATATCAAAATTTAAAACAAGATTTATTAAAGTCGTTGGTACTTTACTGGGACTGAAGAATTTTTGTCAGCCACATACTGTACGATAAAACCCAGTGCACATAAATCAAACGTGACAGCGTATCAACCCACCTTCTCATCAAGACACTCTACCAAGTCAGTGACATACCCACGCAACTCTTGGTAATATCTGAAGCGTTGTGCATAATGCGGCGTACGAACTTCACTTTCGTCCAATTCTTTCATGGTTTGCTGTAATTCTCCTTCTAAACGCTCCTGATCTTGCTGATGCCGTCTATGCACCTCTTTCAAATTGTCCAACCTTTAAATTATAACATTTAATTAATTAGCATTAATTAGCTTCCATTAATTTTTCTATTGTATAAAAAGCTCGAAACATGTTTGGAGAAATATGGAACCTTGTGCGCATCCTGTTTACAACTTCTTGTGGAGTAACAGGTACGATTTTTGTTGGATCTGGTGGTTGAATAGACGGTGGCGGTGGTGGTGCAGGCATTAATACCATTTCTAAAGGTACACCAGACCCAATCATCTGATTAACATTCATGCCCATTGTATATTGTTGTTGCAACATAGAATCTTGCTGTGCTGCTGCAATCTGCATGTCAAAATATTCCAAGTATTTAACATTGCTTTATATATTTTTTTTATCCTAAATCTCATGGTATGAGATTTTATTAATAAACTTTACCTGAGCACCGGTTACACCTTTTCGAATTTGTTGAGCTTCCCACTCTTCTTCTTCGTTTTCATGCTCACTTTCATTATCTGAAACTAAATTGAAATATGTATTCAAAATTGTGTTACCTTTTATTATTAAATATCTTAGAATTTTTTAATTAGATATACACTACACTTAAAGTTAATTATTATATATAAAAACTCACATTTTAATGGAACTTGAGAAGCAAGAAATGCTTCCCTCCTCTTTTCTTTATCACGTGCTTCAGTGTTGACAGTCATATCTAGTCGATCTTGAGAATCATCATC